GGAGAGAAGCGTTTTCTCCTGCAGCACGAACCCCCAACAAGGCACACACAAACTTTCTTGACACATCTTGACTCACGATACTATTCCTGCAGCAGAGGCCTGGCCCAGGTCAGAATGCAGAAGAAGATGCTGCTGCAAAAAAAGGAGGAGGATACGGCACGGTGGATTCCCGGGTGGTCGCCCACCCCAGTACTAACACCGCCTGGCGCAGCTTAACTTCGCTGTTCGGATGGGAAGCGGTGCTTTCTGCGCAGTATGGCCGTATCCATCAACCCTTGCTCGCCTCATCTATCAAATTAGGCACACTCTCCTATTTTATACGAAAATCCCTTCAATGGCTGTACCCTGGCCAGAGGTTAGGCAATTTTCTTGTTGCAGAAGTGTGCTTGGACCAGGTGCCTGTCAGTTCCCGCATGTGCATTCATACTATTATGTGCAGAATAACCCCTGGCCCAATCATCCAAAATGAGTGTAAGTGAAAAAGGACCAACTTGTGGTCATTTGAAATGAGAGGTCCAGTCATTTTGAAAAGTGATTTCATTTGTGAGTTTAAGCCCATATAAATGGTTTGTACAACACAAAAATGGTGTTAATTTAACAATAACAAGACAAAATTGGGAGCATCTTGAGAAATGGCAGATTATTCCTGGTTCTGTGGTAGCTGCAAACGCTAAAACTTCTACAAAATTTTTTTACAGGGTATTCCGCGCTAAAACGCGGTTTACCCCAGCTCTATTTCGGTTTTCACTGTTTTAGAGCGGTTTTCCCTGTCCCGCAACTTTTTTGCGCAGTTTTAGACGTTTGCAGCTACCACAGAACCAGGAATAAAATACCATCATAATGAGTGAGAAAATGTGACCCTTTTTGCTTAGCACAAAAATCAAGTATCTGTACAAAAAAGGCCACCATTGGGCTGTTTTTCATGAGGTTGGTGTACAGATCCAGGAAAGCTTGGGCATCATTTTCAGAATATGTACAGAAGTGGAGGATGTTATTGAAGATGGAATGACAAACACAGAATCCCTTTTTATGTACAGATTTCCCATCCAACACATGATGTGTGTTGGATTGCAATTTTGCTGAATGTTGTGCATTTTTAAGGTCTTTTCTTGCATTTTCTGTTCAAATTTCTCAGATTTTGGGAACACTTGGTTGAATCATGTACACAATAAAGTAAGTGTCTGGTTTTATATTCTTGGTTGTCACCTACATGTTGAATCTCACATGATTTTAGCACAACAAGATTTCCACAGTCATTTGTGACCTCTCATTCCAAAGGAGCACAAGGTCATACTTCACCAAACTGAACTGTACTAGGTGTTTTTGGCCATTTATTTTCACTCCAGCTACAACCACAAGGCACCAACACCATGCCCCACCACATGGAGGACGTTCCACACCTTCAATAAGGGCTCCTCCTGCCATGAGGTTTCCATGAAAACTGTTTCCTTTTGTTCTGTACATACCAAACAAGAAAATAGAAGAAAATAGAATATCAAACAAGAGATTCTTCTTCATCGGCCATGCAAGAACGATTCGACGTCGTGTCGAGGCTGCCGCCGGAGGTGGCGGTGGGGGTTCTGGCAGCTCTCGATTCGCTGGAGGACGTAATGAAGGGGGCGGCCCTCGTGTGCCGCGCCTGGTTCGCCCTCGCCACGCACCCCGCCCTCGCCCGCCTGTGGTACCGTCGGCTGCTGCGGCCCGAACCCCGCCTGCCCGACCTCTCCTGGACCGTGCGCCTCCCCCCCCCATCCGGCCACGCAGTGCACGCACGCAACGTGACCCAACACGCACGCCACGCACGCCACACACAACGCGACCCGACACTCACGCACACGCATCACCACACGCGCACACAGGAGAACCTGTGTACCGAGCTGCGGGCGTGCCGGGAGCTGGGCCTGAAGCGCGAACGCGAGCGCATCGCATACTCGCACCCGACCATGGATCGCTTCGTGTGGGCCGCGTCACGCGGCCACATTCGCATGATCGAGCAGCTCTGGCACAAGGTACGCACCCACACCCACACTACGCACTACACACTACACACACCACGGCCACGCCAACTTCACACCGACTCAGGCCTCTGTGTGCGTGTGCGGTAATGCGTGTGGGCAGGCAGAATCGGGAGTCGCGGGGAAGGGCCGAGGGAGAGGGAAGGCCAACGCGGTGCACAAGTTCTACCTGCTGGGGGACTCGCTGGTGGACACCAGCCACGGCCTGGTGAAGGGGGCCGCCTACCGCAGCGAGGAGAAGCGCATCCCGCTGCTCGTCGCCTGCGCGGCCGGCGAGCTTGCAGCAGCGAGCTTCCTTGTCGAGGTCAATGCGCGCCCCTTCACCATAAGCCACGCCCACACTTTAGGTACTGTGTATCTAACTAAGCAGTGTTGCTGTTGTTTGGGCCAACGATCAGAAAGGGGCGCCGGTGGACGTGAGCAACACGGAGATGCAGACGCCGCTGATGGCCGCCTCGTGGAACGGACATACTGGTACCAGAGCCCCACATTGCGTGGCTGCCGCCGGTTCTTCTTAGGGTCGAGCGTGTCTGGCTGACAATGTTCACTGCTATTATACTCGGCGGCCTGGCAGACACGGTGACGTTCCTGTTGTCCAAGGGAGCCGACGCCACGACAGCCGACATGGGCGCAAAGACGCCGCTCATGCTCGCTGCGTCGGAGGGCCATGCGGCCATCGTGCAGGCCCTTCTTGCACATCTGAGCGCCTTGGGCAAAGGTTTGCTGTCTGCTTTTTGCAGTTTCTTGTTCAACGTTTGATGTTTGATGTTTGCTGATGGTGTACACCAAACCAACATTGCGCGCGGCTCGCAGACATGAAGAAGATGGTGGAGAGGAAGGACCAGGACAAGCGGACGGCGCTGTGGTGGGCGGCATGCAATGGCCACGCGGATGTGGTGCGGCTCCTGCTCCAGCATGGCGCCAATCCACGAGTCAAGGACGCCGACAAGCGCACGCCAGGTACACGACCATTTTGTGTCAACGGTCATCATGTGGTGCTGCTGCTGACCGCACACGCGCGTCTTGGCAGAGGAGGCAGCGCTGGACGAAGGCCACGACGAGCTGGTGGAGGAGTTCTTCGGCCACCCGGCACGCAGCCAACGCAAGGATCGAGCGGCGCAGCGCAAGCGGCAGCGCAGGGAGGAGGACGCCGAATATGGCGACGAAGACGCTGATGCGGATCCAAGCAAGCCAACACGGCAACAACGACGCACATCACGTGCTGCCAACGAGGAGGACGAGGAAGAGGGTGTCGACCAGCAGGAGGCCACCGCCCCGCTCCGACGATCGCGCCGGTTACGCGGCCAAAAGGTGGATCAGACCGACTGAGCGCCGGACAGCATCCACCAAGGATCAGTCAACACACAATAAATGTGGTCGCGTGAATGCAGATGAAGAGGTTGCGGCCAAAAAGGAACGCCGCCCGTGGCCAAAGAAGGCTGCTGCAAAAAAGGAGGAGGATACGGCACGGTGGATTCCCGGGTGGTCGCCCACCCCAGTACTAACACCGCCTGGCGCAGCTTAACTTCGCTGTTCGGATGGGAAGCGGTGCTTTCTGCGCAGTATGGCCGTATCCATCAACCCTTGCTCGCCTCATCTATCAAATTAGGCACACTCTCCTATTTTATCGTACAAACTAACATTTCACACCAGGTGCTGTTCTTGGGTAACCATTGTACTAATTCCAAAGTGTTAGTCAAGTGACTAGATAAGGATGCCACAGTATGTGGTGTCACACTTACAATGCCCAAGAAGATCTGGCCAAGCTGTGTGTGCAAAATCTCACTCTCTCCAATGAAATTGAATTCATTAAAATGAGGAAAAACAAACTTCATGAACAAGGAGAACAAGCCTTCCTTGATCTTACACCAACCTCATGAAAAACAGCCCAATGGTGGCCTTTTTTGTACAAATACTTGACTTTTGTGCTAAGCAAAAAGGGTCACTGACCCTTTTCCATGAACACTTGGTTATGAAGTCCACATGAGCTGTACCATGACAGCATCATTGGGAGGGTTATTTTATTTAAAATGTTGACAATGGAGGTCAACTAATATCTCACACATGAAATGACATGTGGAGATGCTAAATAGGCACTCTGCAGGGCTGAACTCAGGGCAGTATTCTGGCAAAAGCTGATACTCTGCCCCAAGAGCTGAGATTGGCCCAGAGGCTGTCTTGCTGCTCCAGGCCCATTGATGGAAGGAGCAATTAGCACCTCAAACAGCATCACCAGGAAAAATAAAAGGAAGACAAGGTCAAAGTTACAAATTTCTTGCCCTTGCTTGCATAAGTATGTTATGGTTTAGCTTTCCATAATGATGTTGCATCACTCAAATCAGTCATAGGCCATGCCTGGACCAGATGACAAGGTTGTAAGATGTCAAGTGATATCTAAATTGCCAATTTGGACTCAGACCAAAATCTGTGATGATGTGTGCATGTGACCTTGTGGCCTGCTGATTTTGAGGAGTAGTTGAGAAAAAAGTGCACACAGTGAGGTGTGCCATTGGCTGGTGTTAGGGGTTGAGATCATGACTACACTGCTCTATAGCCCCCAAAAAGGTTGGTAGACAGTCAATTCGACAAGAATTTGAGGAATTCTCTTGACTGCAGCCATGACAATCAATATTTGCTGCACAGGGTACATGCCCCTCCCTAGGGCTGGAATTCATGGGTGATGGTAGGTGCTGGGGGGTGATGGCAGGCACTGGGTAAACAACAGTCAGATTAATTAGGTTCCACAATCAAAACAGTCAGGTGCAGCCCCGACCCTGAACTGTCCCTGCAACAGAGCATTTCATAGCAAAGCTGTGCTCTGGATGCTCAGCCACTGCAGTTGCCCTCTCCCACTGGATACACATGAACATGGAGAAGCCACCACAACTGAGCAGCTGTGGGCAACACAAACACATGTATTGAGTTTAGTGCTTGCTGCCCCGTCGAACTCTAGCATGTGAATGGAGAGACCCGTGCCTGATGGATACGGCCATACTGCGCAGAAAGCACCGCTTCCCATCCGAACAGCGAAGTTAAGCTGCGCCAGGCGGTGTTAGTACTGGGGTGGGCGACCACCCGGGAATCCACCGTGCCGTATCCTCCTTTTTGGCCGCAGCCTTCTTTGGCCACGGGCGGCGGGCAGATGGGAGCAGCTTGAACGAAAACGGTAGAACAGCATCTGTGAACGGTTATTTACCATCTGCTCCACTGTGAGCATCACACGAACAACAAAGACAGAGATCGCGGCTCGCAGACGTAAACCTCCTCCTTGCCGTACGCAGCTCCTTGTTTTTGCTGTTTTGTTGATAGACCCATCCCAGTGTCCTGCCTGCATCCTTTTCCAGTTGGCAGATCGTGGCGGCTTGTGGTCTTTTCGAAGCACGTCTTGTTCCAGACCAAGCCAGCCGCGTCAGTGTCGTCGCGGGATCGGCTGAGCGGAGGCGGCGTCGGGCTGGTGGTGCTCTTTCTTGTCTGTCTTTTCCTTCTTCTTGGCGCCTTCGATGAGGCCGACGTGCTGCTTGGCCTTGTACTCGAGCTTCTTGTGGCGGAGGGCCTTCATCTCCTTGGCCTCTGTCTCCACGTCGCGCTCCTCCTCTTCCTCCTCCTGCACGCCCTCGAAGCCGCCCGCGAAGCCCTGGATCGTTTCCCACTCCTCCTCCTTCCGGTGGCCCACCAGATCCAGCGAGCCGCCGTAGATCGAATAGATCGTGTCCGACGCGTGCGCGTAGATGTCCTCCTCCCTCTCCCGCTGCTCCTGCTTGACTGCACGACACACACCGTACACACCGCACACACCGCACACACTACGTGAGCTTTGAGAAGGGAAAGAGGTTGCACAGTGGTCGGCGTACCTTGCTGTTCCTTCTCGACCATCATCCGGCGCAGCCGGGATCGGGCGTGCGATGGCGGGAGCGGGGCCTTCAGGGCCGGCGCTGCTGGCTCGACCTCCGCTTCTTCCCGCTTCGTTTCATCAGCGACCGCCGCTTGCTGCTCAGACTCAGCGACGACATCGTCTTCGTCTTCGTCCTCGCGCGGCTCCTCCTCCGGCGCAACGTCCTCCTTTTCGGTGAGCTTCATCTCCTCGCGCTCGCGTCGCTTCTCCTCGTTGAGGTCGAGCTCGAGCCGCTTGATCCGCTTGATGTCCCTCTGCGTCAGCTTGGCCTCGTCGGCCTGCGCGCGCTCGGGGTCCAGCTCGACCTCGTCCTCCACCGCCGCAGCCTCGAGCCGGCCGCGCTTGCCCAGCGTCGACGCTGCCGGGCCGCCGTAGGCGATGAGGCCCGGACCGGCAAAGTTGAGCTTCAGACCGCGGGGCACCTCGACCTCGGCGGTCACCACCTCGCCGGTCGTCTCGCTCACGTAGGTGAGGGTCTTGGTCGTCACGCCCAGAGCCTTGGCCTCCTTGTCCTCGTACAGCACCGACGCCTCGTAGTCCCCGATCGCGTACTATGCGCAGCACGTGAGTGACCAAACGCACACGCACCACCGCATACGCACACGCACACACGCGAAGGAGGGATGTGTACCTCCTCTTCGCCGGATCCGGCGGCGTAGAGCTTGCGGGTGGCCCAGCAGACCACGGAGCCGTTCTGCTCGCGTCGGGTGAGGTGGCACTGGAGGCGGGTGCAGAGGTGGGGCGCCCTGCCCACGTGGCACACCCACACGTCCCGGTCGAGCTCCTCGTACCCGTGCCGATGGCACACCTCGTATGTACACACGTGCCGCTCCTCCTCCTCCTCCTTTCCCTCTTCCTTTTTTTCTGCCTGCTCTTTTTCAGTCTCTGTCGACACTGCAGGCCGCCTCGTTGGCGCGTCGCTGGTGGTGATCTTGGCCGACCGAGGCGCGGTGTCGAGCTCGGGCGACACTGGTGTGAGGCGCTCCTGCTCGCTCTGCTTGGCAGCATCGCCATGGGCGTGGCCGTGGCTGTCGTCACGGACTACGCGGGCGGCGGCGGCCCGGCGGTCATAGTCGTCTCGGGCGCGCAGTACATCGTCGCGCTCCCACTCGTCGACCCAGAGCGAGCGGCCGGTCTTGGCGTTGAACCAGTAGGGCAGCCCGCAGCCGGCGCCCGGGCGGTGGCTCACCTGCACGCTCCACTCGCCCTGGGCGAACATGGCGTCCCAGCGCCGCCGCCGGGCGTCCATCCACCGCTCGACGAGCCACAGGGCGTAGACGGGGCAGATCTGCTCGTCGGCCGTGCAGTGGTCGCCCGCGCACATGTGCAGGCAGTTGTGGCGGTGGCACAGGAAGATACGCTGATCATCGCTGCTGGTCTTCTTCCCCGCACTCGAGGGCGTCGGCGCCTGCTTCGCTGCGCCGGGCTTGTTTGTTTGCGGCTGAGGTGTGATGGGAGTCGTGGCGGCGGCGGTGGTGGTGGTGGTAGTAGAGGTGATGGTGGTCGATTGGGTGTCGACGAGGCCGGTGCAATCGGCGGCGCTGAGGCGCCGGATGTGGCGGCAGCCGGACTCGTAGCCCGCGCACGGCACGCCCTCCCGGAAGCGCAGCTGGCCCGCTGGGATCTTGTACCGCCGCTCCAGCTCGTCCACCTTGCCTGACCGTTATAAATAATTAAATTAAATTACACATTTATCGATATAAATCAAATCAAAAGATGGTGGTGCGCTTACTGAGGACAGCAAAGCCTTGCGTCCTGAACTTGTCCATGACCTCGAAGGCCTGCCAGATTTCGTTGCCTTCGAGCATGAGCGGCGTGAGGCGCTCATCCCCACTGGCGCGCAGGCTGGCGTCGTACTTGTCCCTCAACTCCACTTGGCTGAGGGTGTTGTAGGCCACCTGCACGAGGCTGAACAGCTCTGCCGCCTCCTCGGGTGCATCCTGATTTTTGTCTGGGTGGAGCAACAGCACCTTCTTTCGAAATGCCTTCTTGATGTCGTCGAGATGGGCTGTAGCCGGCACCCCAAGCAAATCGTAGTACGACTTGCAGCTTCGCTTGGTCGTTGCCAGCAGTGCTGCCGCCCCCTTGCCACCCTTTGCCGCCATGGCAGAATAGCGCGAATCTCAAGCTCGAGATTTGTGCCAGGGAATTGCTGGATGGAGAGCAATCAGGCGTTAACCTCTTAGAACCTACGGACCTCTTGTCCCCTGCTGGTGGTTTGCTTTCTTCACCTGTTGATGCAGATAAACAGATAGGTACGGGCTGAACCGAGGGCCAGAGGGCCAAAGCCAACGTTTTTGGTCTTGGCCGTCAGTCAACCTTCAACAGTGAAGGTTACAAGGACCGGTCTCTCAGATCAACAACGCAGATCTACGACAGGAGGAAGTCAAGCAGACAGGTATGCTGAGAAGAAACAAATCATCATCAAAGGAGGAGAGTGGCGGTGGACCGCCATCATCTCCTTCCAATGGAAAGAGAGGAAGTGGCAAGAAGGAGAAGGCAGACAAGGGCGAGAAGGAGAACAAGAAGGGGAAGGACAAAAAGGGCCTGAAGAAGCTCAAGAGCCGTATCGCCCTCTCACAAAACGCTTCGCTCTCCATCTCGAGCCCCGAAATCAACAGCCATCGCTCCAATTCGCTGCCCGAGCCAACACCCGCCCCCAGCCCTCCATCCACAGCCGGCTCTCCAGTCCACTCGCGAGGCGAAGCCCCCACCACGGAAAGCTCATCAAGCTCCTCTTCCTCGTCATCGTCGCGGCCCATGATGCGGCTACGTTCGGCCTCGCTCTCGTCGGCGTGTAGCACCATGTTGGCCTCCCTCTCGCTTCCCCTGTCCTCCTCCACCGCCTCCATCTCTTCCGTCTCCTCCTCCTCCTCTGCTTCTTCATCTTCTTCCGCCTCGCGCCAGGTCATGCTCGTCGAGAGATCGGAGGCGTGCCAGACCACTCCCACCCCCGGTATCTCTGGCTCCACTCCACCACCCGCGTCGTCGTCGTCTTCTTCCTCCTCCTCTCCTTCTTCCTCCTCCGACGTGTCGTCCGTGTCTTTTTCCGTGCCTGCTGCTTCCCCGCCTTCCTCTGCTCCATCTACTTCCTCCTCTTTGTCTTCTTCATCAGCATCAAGCAAACAGGCGGCGTCGTCATCGGCCTTGGCGCCCGGCAAGACGAAGCGGGACGCGAACGGTTTGTCATCATCATCAGGCTCCTCCTCGACATCATCGTCTTCATCGAATGCCCCGAGCACGACACCATATTCGGCGACTTCGCGGTCTCCGACATCATCGGTCTCTGCGTCGAGGGCTCCCTCTCCCCGTGCCACGACTTCTTCGTCGTCGTCGTCGTCGTCTTCATCGTCGTCGGCCCCGGCCGCGCCGTTCGTGCATCCCTACTTCGAGCCCTCCCGCTACCAGTACCACCAGGTCGACGGCTGGGCTCTCGCCACTCCCGTCTCCGACCGGGACGACCTTCCCAAGATGAGCGGCATCGTCAAGCTCAATATCGGTTCGCGTGATCTCCACCGTGCGTCGTGTGTCGTGTGTCGTGTCGTGCGGTGTCCACTCACATCTCGTGCTGTGTGGGCGGTCGCGCAGGTGGCGTCAAGTACGAGACGACAGTGGGCACTCTGGTGTCGCGAGGCGACAACTTCTTCACGACGCTCTTCTCCCACATGTTCGCCACGCTCAAGGACGAGGAGGGCTACTACTTCATCGACCGCGATGGCGAGTATTTCAAGCCGCTGCTCTCCTACCTGCGCACGGGCGAGCTCCGCGTGCCGCCCGGCATGTCCAAGATGTGCGTCGAGCGCGAGGCCCACTTCTACCTCATCGATCTCAACAACAACAGCATCGCCGACGGCGCGCCGCCGGTGGGTACGCAGCTGGCCGGACCACCGGTGTACCACCCGTCGCCGCTCGGCTGCTCGCTCGCGCGACCCAACGCGCGGTCCTACTTCCTCCGCTACGACGGCGTCTACGTCCAGAAGACCCGCGACGGCGAAGACTTCTTCGCGTACTACCGCTTCTTCCGCGACGGCAAGGTGTGTGTTGTGTGTGTTTGTGTGTGTCACGCGTGCTTGCTTCGTCTGCTGAATGGAGTGCTGACCTTTATGAGTTTGTGGGGGCGTGTGGGAGGGCAGGTATCGATCGTGACGACGTCGCGCCACAAGGTGCAGAACAAGGTGAACAACACGTACGAGGTCATCGAGGGCGAGTGGCTGCTCATCCGGTCCAACTTCCAGAGGAAGCCCACCATCCTTATGGGTACGCTACCCCATTTCTTCGTTCAGCGTCGCCTTTACTTGCTGACACCCACGCACACGCACACGCGCCACCGCACACGCGACACGCACACGACGCACATAGGTTCGTTTGGCTATAATTCGATCCAGATCCACTGGCGATCGCCGCGAGACAAGAAGCACGTGGACTGCAACACGCTCCACTTCTTCCCCTCGTTCGAGCCGCCGACGGACCTGCTGTTCTCCAACCAGCACTGTCGGATGGGCAAGAAGCAGTACCACCGCCTCAACTTCAAGGACGACCACCAGGTCACCATCACCGTCATGGAGAAGGACCAGCAGCACCACCGCCTCATGAACAGCATCAAGCGCACGGCCACCTACTCCCTCGAGAAGGAGGAGGTCGTGACCCTCAGCATCAACGACGACTTCTTCCCGGAGCCCATAATCTCGCTGGGCACCGTGCTGTTGGAGCGGCGCGTCGAGCGGCAGGTGGTCGGGCAGCGGGAGACCTGCCGGGTGTACCTGGCCGTGGACAAGCACGAGGAGGAGGACGACGACGAGATCGACATCTACACCTTCCTCCGCACGTCATCGCCGCCGGTCTCGCTCAACGACGACGACACGGCCAGCAGCGACGATGACGAGTACCGCGACATGTACGCCGCAGCCACGGTCACCAACAACGCGCCCGCTGCGACCAACAACAACAACAACGCGTCCGGTGGTGGTGGCCCCAACGCACGCACGCGAAGCGAGAGGAGCCTGAGCCAGTGACGCGCACAAGTCAAGAAGGACGACCGGTTCGAGAGTGTGAAACGGGTTAGAACAGCCAATCCGACCTTTTTGGAGGGCCCACGATACCATGACTGAATATAACTTGCATTATATAACCCACTTGGCTGACGTGTGAACAACGGAGCCTATGCTCCCATTTTCAGTTGATGTTTGCTATTTACAGCGTTCTATCTCACAAAGAGACAAAGCTTCGGTGCGCCACCTAGGGTCAGCGTTGTTCGTCGAGGTAGGCCGCGAAGCGATGGACGGCCAGCTCTTGCTTTGAGCACACCAGCGAGTGAGGCCGCTTCTCCCGCACGAGCTGGATGGCCTCGTGAGGGGCGAAGCCCTCTTCGGCCACCAGGTAGCACGCGATTACCATCCCTGGAGACGTGGAGAAGCTGAAAGTTAATCGCGAGGGCGTGTAGTGAGTAACAACATTTAGTGGCTTACCTGTTCTACCCAGACCAGCACAACAATGGATGGCAACGGCTTGGCCGCCGGCTAAGGTACTTCGCACCTCATCTACAACGCGTGCGAGTTGTGCATTTGTTGGGCAGGAATAGTCTGGCCAAGACGCTTTCGCGTCAGAGTGCAACCGACTTGTGGAGAAGATAGGAACGTACCGGGAAGAGGGATGTGCAGCAACTGGGGTGCACCTTCGCCGAGCAGGTGCAGCCCATTTCGATGAATGTCGCGATCGGTGAGATTAATCACCACCCTCACCGCTAACTGTTCCTGCAATCGTAGCAGCTGGAGCACAGATGTGGGCTGGCACATGCCTGCAATCTTGTCCGCTACGACCCAGCTGAAGTCGTGAGGGATAGCCTGCAGTTGTCGAAGCTCATCTAAGGTTTCGGGTGCCGGCATTCTCGTCCTCCCCGCAGATGGACAAAAAAGAGTTTGCCTGCGTTCTGTCGGACTTTCGCGCCAAAAAAAGGCGCCAAAGAGTTCAGGCACTGATTGGTGGGCGCTAATGTTGTTGGGCAATTTTTTGCAGGCCAACGCCACTTTCTGGTGGAGACAAGAAGGAAGCGGAAAGATGAAAGACCTCAAGGAACCGCTGACGACAGCCAAGCACGCGAGGAAGGTGAACAAGCACTGCAGCTGCCTGTCGTTTTCGTGCCGGTGGAAGATCTTCAAGTGCTTCCGTGCCATCCGCAAGAAGTGCTGTTGCTGCGTCAAGTGCTGACTCGATCGCCTTCCCTTTCTTACGCCACCGCTATTTATGATGTACCATAAACATGTACAGAATTATGCCACCTCTTATTTATCGTTTGCAATTTGTTCTGGTCGGCCACGTTGGCGAAGAAGGCCTCCTTCCCCAGGGGCCGTGAACTGCGTCTTGCTGAAGGATAGACCATTAATTCATTATTATTACTCCGCCCACTCCGAAATTGCAGGCCTTGTGGTCCTGGTCTTGGGCCAAGGGGCCACAACATCTTTCGATTACATCAAGAGCAGGCTTTCTTGTGGAACTGTCGCGTTCGTTCGGTTCCCACTAACACTCCAATCTCTGACCAGGGACCGATCCTTCGCATCCTAGCGATTTTATCCACCACATAATTCTACATAACATGTCCAGCGAAGAGATCGTTGAAACCCCCACCGAGACGTACGCCCGCCAAATCCCTCATCCAAAAATTGCAAGCTTGAGAAAGAATGTAGCAATTTAATTGATTCTCTGCGATAACACCCAACCTCTTCATCATCTTCTCCCTGCCCATTCTTTATCAATCTCATCTTCAATTCCACCGCTACGCTGCAGGGAGGAGACGCCCAAGACGGATCAGCAGGAGCAAGCCGGCGGCAAAAAGCGCGGGAAAAACGTGGCCGCTCTTGCCGGCTCCCTCGGCGCCTCCATCCCCATGGCCGCCCCCGGCGGCGGCCGCGGAGGTGGTCGTGGTGGCCGCGGCGGCGGCAAGGTCGCGGCGCTGGGCCAGGGCCTCAACCTCAACGCACTGCTCGGGTCGGGCGGTCCGCCCGGCATGGGCCGCGGCAAGCCGCCCAAGAAGCAGGCCGAGGCCGAGGCGACGGCGGCGGACGAGGAGCCGGGCAAGAGCAAGGAGGACGAGGGCGAGGACGAGGCCGAGCAGAAGGCCCGCGAGGAGCTCGAGCGCGAGAAGGCAGCGACCACGACGACTGAGGAGAGCGGCAGCCTGGTCCACCGCACCAAGAACCGCCCGCGACCCACCCTCCGGCGCCAGCCCTCCGAATTCCCCGTCCCGTACTCTACGCCTCATGTGTGTGTGCGTGTGTGTGGTGTGTCGTGCGGCTCACCTGTCCGGTGTGGCGGCGCATGCGGTGGCACAGGTGGAAGCCGGAGGACGGGCAGCCGGAGGAGGAGGGCGGTGCGGTGACGCTCGCGCAGCTCAAGGCCGTCGCTGCCGCCGAGGCCGCCGCCGCCGGGGACGAGAGCCCCCAGCAGGAGCAGACCGAAGAGGGCACCGCCGCCGCCACCGCCACTACCAACGAGCAGCAGCAGCCCGCCGAGGACGACGCCGCTGCCGAGGAAGAACAGAAGCGGAAGGAGGAGGCCGAGCAGGCTGCCGCCGCTGAGGAGGAGAGGAAGCAGAAGGAGGCCGAGGAAGCCGCCGCTGCCGAGGAGGAGCGTAAGCGCAAGGAGGCTGAAGAGGCCGCCGCTATCGCAGCCGAGGAGGAGAGGAAGAGGCTCGAAGCCGAGGCCGCCGCCGCCGAGGAGGACAGGAAGCAGAAGGAGGCCGAGGAGGCCGCCGCCGAAGAGGAGCGCAAGCGCCAGGAGGCCGAAGAAGCCGCCGCCGCTGCCGCCGAAGAGGAGCGCAAGCAGAAGGAGGCCGAAGAAGCCGCCGCCGCCGCCGCCGAAGAGGAGCGCAAGAGGAAGGAGGCCGAGGAGGCTGCCGCCGAAGAGGAGCGCAAGCAGAAGGAGGCCGAGGAAGCCGCCGCCGAGGAGGAGCGCAAGCAGAAGGAGGCCGAAGAGGCCGCCGCCGAAGAAGAGCGCAAGAGGAAGGAGGCCGAGGAGGCCGCCGCTGCCGCCGCCGAGGAGGAGCGGAAGAGGCTCGAGGCTGAAGCCGCCGCCGAAGAGGAGCGCAAGCAGAAGGAGGCCGAGGAAGCCGCCGCCGCTGCCGCCGAGGAGGAGCGCAAGCAGAAGGAGGCCGAGGAGGCTGCCGCCGCCGCCGAGGAGGAGAGGAAGCGCAAGGAGGCCGAGGAGGCCGAGGCTGAAGCCGCCGCCGAAGAGGAGCGCAAGAGGAAAGAGGCCGAGGAGGCCGCCGCCGCCGCCGAGGAAGGAGGAAGAGGAGCGCAAGAGGAAGGAGGACGAGGAGGCCGCCGCTGCCGCCGAAGAAGAGCGCAAGAGGCTCGAAGCCGAAGCCGCCGCCGAGGAGGAGCGCAAGCGCGAGGAGGCCGAAGAGGCCGCCGCTGCCGCCGCCGCCGAGGAGGAGGAGCGGAAGAGGAAGGAGGCCGCCGCTGAGGAGGAGCGCAAGCAGAAGGAGGCCGAAGAGGCCGCCGCCGCCGAAGAAGAGCGCAAGAGGCTCGAAGCCGAAGCGGCCGCTGAGGAGGAGCGCAAGAGGAAGGAGGCCGAGGAGGCCGCCGCCGCGGCTGCTGAAGAGGAGCGGAAGAGGCTCGAGGCCGAGGCCGCCGCCGAGGAGGAGCGCAAGCGCAGGGAAGCCGAGGAGGCCGCCGCCGAAGAGGAGCGCAAGCAGAAGGAGGCCGAAGAGGCCGCCGCTGCCGAGGAGGAGCGGAAGCGCAAGGAGGCCGAGGATGCCGCCGCTGCTGAAGAAGAGCGCAAGAGGAAGGAGGCCGAGGAGGCCGCCGCCGCCGAGGAGGAGAGGAAGAGGCTCGAGGCTGAAGCCGCCGCCGAAGAGGAGCGCAAGCAGAAGGAGGCCGAGGAAGCCGCCGCCGAAGAGGAGCGCAAGCGCCAGGAGGCCGAGGAAGCCGCCGCCGAGGA